ACTGGAGATATATCTGTTGTGAGCAGAAATTAAGCATTTTCCCTTCTCAATGCTGGGGGTTGGACTACATGACCTTTGAAGGCCCCTTCCAACTCAAACTACTCTATGATGCTATGACTCTATGATTCTACTCTGACTTTTGATAAATTAATTTTTCCCTGAGCCTAGTCTGTTTTGCTGCCACTGGAAACTGGTGAGAGATCTCCATGTCCTTATGTCTCCATGTCTCCTTGAGAGATTCTCCCCTTATCCAATTGAGGAAGAGGAGTGATAGAGCCGCTCAGCGAGCACTTGGTGCCCAGCCAAGATCAAACCACCTCAGAGCCCATCTTCACAGGAGAACAGGGTCACAGTCTTGTTCCTGCACCTTGTCCCCAGTGCCCCATGCAGGGCCTTGCTAAACCAAGGGGAGGAGGGTTGTGACCTCGCAGTGGGGGCTTTCTGTGTGACCTCAAAACAGAGGGATGGTGGCTTGGGATCCCCTGCAGAGGTGTTCCAGAAACACAGCAGCAGGGAGGATGTTCTGTCCGAGACCCCTCTGCACTGTTGGAGCCTGCAGTGAAGAGGGGCTGGTGGCCCCCTAAGCATCCTGCCAAGGCATCCTTTGAGGGTGAGACCACAGCCTGGGGGCTCTGATGTGTGTGGAATGGGGACCATGCAGTCAGAAGGTCAGTGCAAAAGGAGCCCACACCTGGGTCAGAAGAAGATCCCAGAGCAGGAGGGTGGTGACCTGGGCACCCTGCATGGGATACCCATGGTCCTCACAGCAGTTGGTGACAGGGCCATGTGTTCCTGTGTGGTTGGCCCTAGGACCTACCCAGAATAGTCTCATGAGCCATCATGAGTCTCATGCCATCATCACAGTCACACATAGGGGAACATTGTCATGTTCATTACTTAGTTTGTGCCAGTTATGCACTTGTGTCAAGTTCTGGAAGGCCTCCATGAGTCTGTTTTGTTTCTGTTGTGGTGACACATTTCCTAGGAGAGACTTTGTGGGCCTTGTTCACTCACTCCGAAGGCCTGTTGAGCCCTGGCTTTGTGCTGCGTGAAGTTGGAAGAGCCTCGGTAGGAGAAAGGGAGAGGAGGTGTCACAGGGTCAGATGCAGGAGAACTTTATTGAGGCAGAAGAGTGAAAACATACAAGCGTAAGGCGTTCGTGAGCTGGTCTAAGGTGTGAGTATGGCGACCATCCACTGAGGTCTCTTGTTTCCCATAGATTCAGTCAGAGCACTGAGGTCTCTGTGCCCTGAACTGGGAGGAGCCCACAAAAGGTCCCCTGAATCGTTCTTAGCTTGTGAGATGCTGGTTGTGCCAGACAGTACTGGACATAGTAGATGGAGTGATGCAGAGAAGGAAGTGAGAGAACAGGAGGAGGTCCATGGAGCATGTCACTAGTAGCACAGGCTGGTTACATGCCATCTTTCCTTTCTTGGTACCTAGAGAGTAGAACGTGTGGACAGCAGTTATGTGTCAGACACAGCGTGGATGTGCATGCTCAGTCCTTTGCGTTGCTTCCAGGGTGTTGTTGCTGTTGTCAGGGTGCTGTCAATGGCCCTTAGCAGATGTCGCAGCCTCTTCCTCTGCCGTAGCAGCCCAGGCCTCCGAAGCCGTAGCCAAGGCCGTAGCCGAAGCCCCCAGAGGAGACGGGCACTCCCTGGGCGCTGAGGACGTTGCCCACGGCAGCGGATGAGGAGGATCCGACGGCGGTGCTCTGGGGGAAGGAGCTGAGGATGGGTCCTGGCAGGGTGACCAGCACGGCGGGAGGCTGGATGACGACGCGGGAGTCCTCGCACTGCCTGACACAGGGCTCGTTGCAGCTGTTGGCCAGCGGGGTGGGTCCGCAGGGGCGGCAGAGGTCGTAGCAGGCCATGTCTGTGGTGTGGAGGGGCCCTGGGAGACTAAAGGAGAGGAGAGAATGGAAGAGAGGGTGTGGGGATAACGGAGGGCATTGGGGTGCGAGGGGCGGTGGTGCAGGAGGGCGAGGCAGTGGGGAGGCTGGTGTGGGGCTGTGGGGCTGGGGAGGCGTGAGGGGTGCTGAGGCTGGGGCAGAGCGTGCTGGAAGAGCCGGGGCAGGGGGGCGGGAGCAGAGGGCAAGGGGCTTGAGGCTCACCTTGTTGAGCGCGCAGGAGAAGGCGTCAGCAAAGGCGAGTGAGGGACAGAGGCTCTGGGCTGGCTTTTATGCTGGTCCTGGAGTGCCCGAGGGGGCTGAGACAGCCTTTGTGCATGACAGCATGTTTGTGCAAGCAGCTGGTGCATGTCAGATCCTCGCAAGCAATTATTTGTGGCTGTGTTTTCCTTCCAAGAGTTCTGCAATTTCATGTCCTCCTATTGAGGACGTGTCCTTCTGGTCCTGGCGGCAGCTTTCAAGTATTAGAGACCAAAGGCTTGGTGTTGATGGTGCATGTCAGGGCATTTGGCAGAACATGCAGCAAAAGCGTTGGAGAGGTGGGGGTGTCATCACTGATGTCATCCTGTGACACTCGTGGCTGTGGTTTGTGGCTGGGTTGTGAAGAGGGGGCCCCACGTCCTTGCAGCCCCGGGGCTGTGCTGGCTATGAGAGGCTGCCCCTTCCATTGCATTAGGTTCCTACCTGACTTGCTGCTGGGTCACTAGTCCTGTCTGTAGGCCTTTCCTTTCCTTTTGGGTGAGCTCTATGGGTGTTGTGGTGCCTTTTTATGCCTGTAAGGTTGGTTCACATGCGAAGGTTCTGTTAGAAGATGCAGGAAGCTTCTGCCATGTCTCGAAGAGCGTGTTTGAAGAGCACACACTGAGCAAGTTCATGGAGTTGTTCCCTTTGAAGGGAGTCCAAGATGGAGGAGGGAAAGAGTGTGAGGACCAAAGAGGATTAGCAACAATGTGTTGACTACATCCCCCATTTCTCATCCCCATTTGTGGCTTGGAGGAAAGGAATATGTAATTTCCCTGGGTTCAGCAGTAGCTGTCATTTTTCTCCTCCTTGGTAGCTGGTGCAGTGCTGTGTTTTTTTCTTTCGGCCTGGGAACAGAGCTGATAACACTGATGTTTTGGTCTGGCCAAGGACTTTGTGAGCCTCATGCTCTGCCAGGGAGGAGGGGAGGCCGGGAGGAAACAGAGAAATGACACCTGACCCAAGCTAGCCAAAGAGGTATTCCATACCACAGCACGTCATGCCCACGATGGAACTGGGAGTTACCCTGAAGGGGTGGGACTGCAGTGTTGGACGAGGTATCGGTTGGTGCTTGGTCAGGCTGGAGGGGCAAGTTATCGGTCAGCTATTGATGAGATGTTGTATTCTCTTCCCTTGCTATTCCCTTTACCATTATTATTATTGGTGGTAGCAGTTGTGATCTGTGTTATACCTTACTTACTAAACTGTTCTTATCTCAACCCGTGGGAGTTGCATTCTTTTCGGTTCTCCTCTCCATCCCTCCAGGAGTAGGGGGAAGGAAAGGAAGAGGGAGGAAAGGTGGGGACTGAGTGAACAAGCTGTCTGGCTGGGTTTAAACCACAACAGTAATTCATGAGGGAAGGTGAATGTGGGGAAGGTGTTTCGAGATTTGATTTTATTTCTCTTAATTCTGCTCTGACTTTGTTGAACAATTATTTAACTTTGATAAATTATATTAATTTCCCAAGCACAGTCTGTTTTGCTGCCACTGGAGTGTTCTCCTGCCTGTGAGTGATCTCCATGTCCTTATCTTAGTTCGGGAGCCTTTTGTCGTATTGCTGTCCCCGTGTCCACTTGAAGAACAGGAGTGATAGAGCAGCTCGGTGAGCACGTGGTGCGCAACCAAAGCCTAGCCACCACAGAGCCCCATCTTCGCAGCAGAGCTGGTCACAGACTTGGTCCTGCACTTGTCCACAGAGACCCATTGAGCCAAGGTGAGGACTGTGACCTCATACTGGTGTTTTCTGTGTGACCTCAGAGCATAGGGATGGTGGCTTGGGGTATCCTGCAGAGGTGGTCCAGAGACTTTGCAGGAGGGAGTATGATGGTCAGGAGACCTTCTGTGTGGGTCAGTGTTGGAGCCTGCAGGGAAGAGGGGCTGGTGGTTGGGGAACCTCCAAGGCAGCATCTGTGGACCCCACAGCAAGGTGAGACCATGGCCTGGGTACACTGGCATGTTTGGAATGGAGACCAAGCAGCCAGGTGGTCAGTGCAACATCGACCCACACCTGGGTCAGAGGAGGATCTCAGAGCAAGGAGAGTGGTGACTTGGGCACACTGTATTGACTATCCATGGTCATTCCAGCAAGTGGGGACCAGGCCATGAGTTCCTGTGTGGGTGGCCCTGGGACTCCACGCGAAAGATCTCATGAGTTTATGGTGACTCCGTCAGAGACGTTCTCATGGGAGGGTTGCCATGTTCAAGACTGTCTTTGAGCCAGTGCTGGCTCAAACCTCTGTCACCTTGTGAAAGCAGCCCAGGTGCCAGTCTTTGTTGGCTGTGGTGGTATATTTCCCAGGAGAATTTTGGTGGCCTTTTTCAATCACACTGATGGCCTGTTGAGCTCTGCCTTTGTGCTGCATGAAGTTGGAAGACCCGTGGTGGAAGAATGGGGAAGAGGTGTTGCAATGCAGAACTTTATTGAGACAAAAGCATGAAAATATACAGGCATAAGGAGGAAGAGAGGTGAGGTGCAAGTATGGTGACCATGCACTGAGGTCTTCTGTATGCAGTAGATTTTGTCAGAGCAGTGAGGTCTTTCAGTCTTGACTGGGGAGAAATCCACTGAAGGTCCCCCGCTGCGGATTAGCCTGTAAGATACTGGTGGGGCACACAGTACTGCACACAGCAGATGGGGTGGTGCAGAGTAGGAATTTGGAGAAGAAGACATCCATGGGCCATGTTACCAGGCAGCCTGGTCGGGCCCCTTCCCTGCTTGCTCTGTGCCACAAGGGAAGGAGCTGCGGAAGGTGAACTGGTGTGCCAGCATTACCCCAGACGTGCATCCTCAGTCTATGTCTTTGCATCCAGAATGTACGTGAGTGGTTTCAGGCGTGTTCTCAATGGCCCTTAGCAGATGTTGCAGCCTCTTCCACCGCCGTAGCAGCCCAGGCCTCCAAAGCCGTAGCCAAGGCCGTAGCCGAAGCCCCCTGAGGAGACGGGCACTCCCTGGGCGCTGAGGACGTTGCCCACGGCAGCGGATGAGGAGGATCCGACGGCGGTGCTCTGGGGGAAGGAGCTGAGGATGGGTCCTGGCAGGGTGACCAGCACGGTGGAAGGCTGGATGACGACGCGGGAGTCCTCGCACTGCCTGACACAGGGCTCGTTGCAGCTGTTGGCCAGCGGGGTGGGTCCGCAGGGGCGGCAGAGGTCGTAGCAGGCCATGTCTGTGGTGTGGAGGGGCCCTGGAAGAGGGGAGAAGAGGAGAGGAGAGGGGAGGAGAGGGTGTGGGGAGAGCGGAGGGTATGGGCGCGCAAGGGGCGGTGGTGCAGTAGGGCGAGGCAGTGGGGAGGCTGGTGTGGGGCTGTGGGGCTGTGGTGCTGGGAGGGCGTGAGGGGTCCTGAGGCTGGGGCAGAGCGTGCTGGAAGAGCCGGGGCAGGAGCAGAGGGCAAGGGGCTTGAGGCTCACCTTGTTGAGTGCAGAGGAGAAGGCGTCAGCAGAGGCGAGTGAGGGACAGAGGCTCTGGGCCGGCTTTTAGGCTTGTCCTGGAGTGCCGGAGGGGTCTAAGACAAGCTTTGTTCATGACAGCATGTTTGTGCAGGCAGCTGGTGCATGTCAGATCCTCGCAAGCAATTCGTTGTGGTTGTTTTCCTTTCAAGAATTCTGGAAGTTCATGTCCTCCTGTTGAGGACGTGTCCTTCTGGCCCTGGCAGCAGCTTTCAAGTATTAGAGGCCAAAGGCTTGGTGTTGATGGTGCATGTCAGGGTATTTGGCAGAACATGCAACAAAAGTATTGGAGTGATGGGAGTGTCATCACTGATTACATCCTGTGGCACTCGTGGCTGTGGTTTGTGGGTTTCTTTCAGTGCTTCCTGATGGCGGAAATAGAGCTCATCCCTTTGTATCAGTGAGAAAATCAAGAGAGTGGATGTGGCACACTAGAGGCTGGAGAGCCTGATCGGTGCCCAGTGTTAGGCTCCATTTATGTTTCTCAGATATACAGGGCAACCTCTTCAGTTATTTCAACTCTGTGTTCTGAGGTCATAATGAAATCCAGTGAAGACACAAGAAACCGGGGCTCTACTCATTTTTGCCCAGTGTAGGTTAAGACGTAAATCTTCTTCTTCAGCAGACAAGCCATAACCTACAACATCTGAGTCTTCTGACAGTGTACTTATGACCAAAAATATATAATTACCTGCCAATGGTAAGAGAGCTCCTTCTTCCAGCTCAGTCATGGTTTCGATGTTACTTGTGTCACTCCTGGAAACACAAAAGCCTCAGCATTCCAGGAGCTGCTGGATCTGCTTCAAAAGCATTTAAGGGTTAGCTGATGCTTTGTACCTTCCAGATTGGAGGTTTGGTCTGATGCCTTTCCACAACGTAGTGGTTTCTGAGTGAACTGCCAGACAAAAGGTGATGTGCAGGAGACAGCAGTTTCCAGGTGATAATGGCTGCATAATGCCCCTACAGCCCTTTCTTGCCACCTGTTCTCCCTAAATGGTGCCTCATTTTGACCTCATGGCGCTGCTCCCAGCATACCTCAGGCCCCACCAAAAGCTGGGGCAGACAAAATCAGAGCAAATGTTGAGTGAACAGTCACATGCACCCCAGGATGCAGTTTGCCCCCTTGTCTGCCAGGGCACACTGCTGTCTCCTATTGAACCTGCTGCCAGGCAGCACCCCCAGGCGCCTTTCTGCAGGGCTGCTCTCCAGGAACTCCTCTCCCAGGCTGTGCTTGTGTCCAGCATCGCTCCATCCCAGGCACAGAATCCAGCATTTGTGCTTCTTACATTTCATGCCATTGATGGTTGCCCAATGCTGCAACCTATCTAGATCCTTCTGCAAGACCTCTTGTCCTTCAAGAGAATCAACAGCAACTCCCAGTCCCATCAGCAAGCTTGTGAACAGTGCATTCAACTGCTGCCTGTAGAGGTGTGATAAAAATATTGTCCAGAAATGACCCTGGAATGGAGCCCTGGGGAATATTGCAGGTGAACCTTCACAAAGCACATCTAGCTCCATTCACTTTGAGACATTCAGCCCTGCTCTTCAGGAGTTCTTTATCCAACGTATGGTGTACCTGCTCATGTCACATTTGAACAAGTTGTCCAGGAGGATGTTGTGAAGGACAAGAGTTCAGCCAGGGCAGATGCCAAGTCTTGTTTGTGGGGAGAAGTGACCCCGTGTAGCAGGAATATCTGTGGGACCGATGGGTTAGAAACCGTCTTAGGAGAGAATGACGTTGTGGTGTAGTGGAGCAGAAACGGACCATGAGATGACAACCTACCCTTGTAAGAAAAGGGTCCACCAGTCTCCAGGGCTTCATTCAGTGGTGCTGCAGTGGGTAAGGGGAGGGCAGCATCCCTTGCTTGTCAGAAATGTTGAGGAGAATGCCATGTGGGATTCATTTCTTGGTGCCCCAGTGAGGAAGGACTTGGACTTTCTGGAGCAGGAGCAGTGCAGGGTCACCAAGAGACTGGAGGGTCTGCATCATCTTTCATAGAGAAGAGGTTGAGAAGTGAACCACCCAAGAGAGGAGGATGTGCAGGGTGCCCATCATCAATGGGAGTAAAGCCGCTGATGGCAGGGAAAGAAGTGGTGGGAACCCAGCTCTTGTCACTGGTGTGCACAGGCAGAAGAGGCTGCCCTGGGTACAAGGGGAAAGAGATGGAATTGCATGGGCAAACCAGGCAAGCCCTTTTGCCTGTGTGGAAGGGCAAAGAGTGGAAGAGGTGGTGGAGTCTCTGTGCTGTGAGCTACTGAAAACCCAACTGGCCATGGTCCCACACCTGCAGCTCTAGTTGTCCTGTTCATGAAAAGGGATTAAGTCAGCTCCTCTGGAGAGGTTCCTGCTGTTGAAAGTGATTCTGAGGAGACTCAGGCTGGGATGCTGGAAAGTTTATTGAGACAAAAGAATGACAATGTAAGAGCAGCAAAAGCACCAAGTGGAAGTGAGACAGTCTGAGGTGCAAGGAGTGCAACCATGAGCGGAAGACTTCTGCTTGCAGTTCTTCCTGCCCTGCAGCGCAAGCAGCATAGCAGAGGTCCCCCAATGTTCTTTGACTTGTAAGAAGGGGTTTGCAGCAGAGAGTCGTGGAACTGCCCAGAACTGCATCCACAGATCTTGCCATGGCTTCGAGGGTTTCGGTGGCTGGCTTCAGGTGTATTGTCAATGGCCCTTAGCAGATGTATCCCCTTCCTCTGCCATAGCAGCCCAGGCCTCCAAAGCCGTAGCCAAGGCCGTAGCCGAAGCCCCCAGAGGAGACGGGCACTCCCTGGGCGCTGAGGACGTTGCCCACGGCAGCGGATGAGGAGGATCCGACGGCGGTGCTCTGGGGGAAGGAGCTGAGGATGGGTCCTGGCAGGGTGACCAGCACGGCGGGAGGCTGGATGACGACGCGGGAGTCCTCGCACTGCCTGACACAGGGCTCGTTGCAGCTGTTGGCCAGCGGGGTGGGTCCGCAGGGGCGGCAGAGGTCGTAGCAGGCCATGTCTGTGGTGTGGAGGGGCCCTGGGAGAGGAGAGAATGGAAGAGAGGGTGTGGGGAGAGCGGAGGGCGTGGGGGTGCGAGGGGCGGTGGTGCAGGAGGGCGAGGCAGTGGGGAGGCTGGTGTGGGTCTGTGGTGCTGGGGAGGCGTGAGGGGTGCTGAGGCTGGGGCAGAGCGTGCTGGAAGAGCCGGGGCAGGGGGGCAGGAGCAGAGGGCAAGGGGCTTGAGGCTCACCTTGTTGAGCGCGCAGGAGAAGGCGTCAGCAGAGGCGAGTGAGGGACAGAGGCTCTGGGCCGGCTTTTATGTTGGTCCTGGAGTGCCTGAGGGGGCTGAGACTGTGTTTGTGCATGACAGCATGTTTGTGCAAGCAGCTGGTGCATGTCAGATCCTCACAAGCAATTAGTTGTGGTTGTGTTTTCCTTCCAAGAATTCTGGAAGTTCATGTCCTCCTGTTGAGGACGTGTCCTTCAGGCTCTGGCAGCAGCTTTCAAGTATTAGAGACCAAAGGCTTGGTATTCATGGCGCATGTCAGGGCATTTGGCAGAACATGCAACAAAAGTATTGGAGTGATGGGGGTGTCATCATTGATGTCATCCTGTGGCACTCATGGCTGTGGTTTGTGGCTGGGTTGTGAAGAGGGGGCCCCATGTCCTTGCAGCCCTGGGGCTGTGCTGGCTCTGAGAGGCTGCCCCTTCCATTGCATTAGGTTCCGCCCTGACTTGCTGCCAGATCACTAATCCTGTCTGTAGGCCTGTCCTTTCCTGTTGGGTGAGCTCTATGGGTGTCGTGGTGCCTTTTTTTGCTTGTAAGGTTGTACTTGTGATGGGTTCACCTCAGAAGGTTCTGTTAAAAGTTGCAAGAAGCTTCCCCCATGTCTCAAAGAGCCTGTTTGAAAAACACGCGTTGAGTAAGTTCATGGAACGCTGTTTCTCTTGGGAGTCCAAGATGGAGAAAAGAAAGAGTGTGAGGACCAAAGGGGATTAGCAACAATGTGTGTTGAACTGACTACAACCCCCATTTCAAATCCACATTTGCAGCTTTGGGGAAAGGAATATGTAATTCATGAGGGAAGGAGAACCTTGAAGAAGGTTTGGGGAAGGTGTTTCAAGATTTGGTTTTATTTCTCTTAATTCTACTCTGACTTTTTGAAAATTAATTTAACTTTGATAAATTAAATTAATTTCCCAAGCACAGTCTGTTTTGCTGCCACTGGAGTGATCTCCTGCCTGTGAGTGATCTCCATGTCCTTATCTTAGTTCGGGAGCCTTTTGTCGTATTCCTGTCCCCATGTCCACTTCACGAAGAGGAGTGATAGAGCAGCTCGGTGAGCACATGGTGCCCAACCAAAGTCTACCAACCACAGAGCCCCATCTTTGCCGCAGAGCTGGTCACAGACTTGTTCCTGCACTTGTCCACAGTAGGTCATGCAGAGACCCATTGAGCCAAGTTGAGGAGGACTGTGACCTCATACTGGTGTTTTCTGTGTGACCTCAGAGCATAGGGATGGTGGCTTGGGGTATCCTGCAGAGGTGGTCCAGAGACTTTGCAGGAGGGAGTATGATGGTCAGGAGACCTTCTGTGTGGGTCAGTGTTGGAGCCTGCAGGGAAGAGGGGCTGATGGTTGGGGAACCTCCAAGGCAGCATCTGTGGACCCCACAGCAAGGTGAGACCATGGCCTGGGTACACTGGCATGTTTGGAATGGAGACCAAGCAGCCAGGTGGTCAGTGCAACATCGACCCACACCTGGGTCAGAGGAGGATCTCAGAGCAAGGAGAGTGGTGACTTGGGCACACTGTATTGACTATCCATGGTCATTCCAGCAAGTGGGGACCAGGCCATGAGTTCCTGTGTGGGTGGCCCTGGGACTCCACGTGAAAGATCTCATGAGTTTATGGTGACTCCGTCAGAGGCATTCTCATGGGAGGGTTGCCATGTTCAAGACTGTCTTTGAGCCAGCACTTGCTCAAACCTCTGTCACCTTGTGAAAGCAACCCAGGTGCCAGTGTTTGTTGGTTGTGGTGGTATATTTCCCAGGAGAATTTTGGTGGCCTTTTTCAATCACACTGACGGCGTGTTGAGCCCTGACTTTGTGCTGCATGAAGTTGGAAGAGCCATGGTAGAAGAATGGGGAAGAGGTGTCAGAGGTTGGGATGCAGAACTTTATTGAGACAAAAGCATGAAGATATACAAGCATAAGGAGGAAGAGAGGTGAGGTGCAAGTATGGTGACCATGCACTGAGGTCTTCTGTATGCAGTAGATTCTGTCAGAGCAGTGAGGTCTTTCAGTCTTGACTGGGGAGAAACCCACTGAAGGTCCCCCGCTGCTGATTAGCCTGTAAGATGCTGGTGGGGCACACAGTACTGCACACAGCAGATGGGGTGGTGCGGAGAAGGAATTTGGAGAAGAGGAAGACATCCATGGGCCATGTTACCAGGCAGCCTGGTCGGGCCCCTTCCCTGCTTGCTCTGTGCCACAAGGGAAGGAGCTGCGGAAGCTGAAATGCTGTGCCAGCATTACCCCAGACGTGCATCCTCAGTCCATGTCTTTGCTTCTTGAATGTACATAGTGGTTTCAGGCGTGTTGTCAAGGGCCCTTAGCAGATGTTGTATCCCCTTCCTCTGCCGTAGCAGCCCAGGCCTCCGAAGCCGTAGCCAAGGCCATAGCCGAAGCCCCCAGAGGAGACGGGCACTCCCTGGGCGCTGAGGACGTTGCCCACGGCAGCGGATGAGGAGGATCCGACGGCAGTGCTCTGGGGGAAGGAGCTGAGGATGGGTCCTGGCAGGGTGACCAGCACGGCGGGAGGCTGGATGACGACGCGGGAGTCCTCGCACTGCCTGACACAGGGCTCGTTGCAGCTGTTGGCCAGCGGGGTGGGTCCGCAGGGGCGGCAGAGGTCGTAGCAGGCCATGTCTGTGGTGTGGAGGAGCCCTGGCAGGGGAGAGGAGAGGAGAGGAGAGGAGAGGAGAGAATGGAAGAGAGGGTGTGGGGATAACGGAGGGCATTGGGGTGCGAGGGGGCGGTGGTGCGGGAGGGCGAGGCAGTGGGGAGGCTGGTGTGGGGCTGTGGGGCTGGGGAGGCGTGAGGGGTGCTGAGGCTGGGGCAGAGCGTGCTGGAAGAGCCGGGGCAGGGGGGCAGGAGCAGAGGGCAAGGGGCTTGAGGCTCACCTTGTTGAGCGCGCAGGAGAAGGCGTCAGCAGAGGCGAGTGAGGGACAGAGGCTCTGGGCCGGCTTTTATGCTGGTCCCCGAGGGGCGGGACAGCCCTTGCGCATGGCAGCATTTGTCAGCAAGCAGCTGGTGCGTGCCACAGCCTGGCAAGTCATGAGCTGGGGCGTGTTCTCCTTCCCACAGTGCTCCCTTTGCATGTCCTCCTGTTGAGGACGTGTCCATCCGGCCCTGGCGGCAGCCTTGAAGTCAGAGTAGGTGTTTGGGACGATTTGCATGGAAGATGCCTGTCAGGCTGTTCTGCAGATACAGCCATGGCCTTGGAGGCATGGTGTGTCATCACTGAGGTCATTCGGTGGCACTTGTGTGTTGTGGTTTTTGGTGCCTTGTGAAGAGGTGGCTCCATGTTCATTGCAGCCCTGTCGGGCTGGTCTGGGCTCTGGAGTTTTGGTGGCATGAGGGGCTGCCTCTTCCGTCCCATTTGTTCCCTCCCTGCCTTGTTGCTAAGTACCTTAGCTTGTCTTTAGGCCTGTCCTTTCCCATTGAGTGAGCTCTGTGGGCGTCAATGTGGATCTCCTTGTGCCCTTTTGCACATTTTCAGTCCAGACTCTGGTGTGACGCATTGCTAGATGTGGGGCACCTCACAAAGGCAGTTGTGGTTCTGGAGAGCCTGTGAGGATGTCAGTGGAAGAGGTGTTAGGGAGCAGTTGCCAGGGGAATCGTGCACCAGGTTTGTGATCTTTGCCTGGGGTAGTGCCACTGCGTGACGCCATTTCTCTGCTCAGTGTTGACAGGTGAAAGTTGATTTGGAGATTAAAGAGGGGTTTGGATGCAGAGATGCTTTACATGGCCACAGAGGTTGGGCCCTGTTAGTGGTGGAATCATGCTGATGGGTTGATGCCTGGCAAGGCCTGCCCCAGTTCATCCAAGGTGAGTGTTTTGCAGGCTGATTGTCAGGTGAGCTGTTTTGTGGTTGGGGAAATTATAGGGAGGTCAGAGGGAGAGCTTTTGGACTGAATGTATGGAAGTCCCTGGGGCATGAAGGTAACCAATAACACTGAGGGAGCTACCTGTTCTTCTTGGGAGGTGTGTCTTATGTATTTTAGGAGAGTTAATAGTGCCTGGAAGTGGTTCCTGAACAGGAGGAAAGAGCTGAATGGCCTCTTCTTTTGAAGAAGACTAGGAAGGCACAACTGGGAAACTAGAAGGTCTTGAGTCTGATCATGTTCCCATAGAAGGTGATGTAGGAAGTCTTCCCAGAAAGGACTGTGAATGCCAGGAAGGACCAGAAATTGAGATGAAGTTCTAGCATATATTTGCAAATGGTAAATCATGCTTGATTGAACTCTGTCTCCTCTCCATGGGAGTGCCCATCATTGTGGATGAGGAGACAGCCGTGGCTGGTGCTTACCTTGAATTTCTTTGTAAAGTCTTTGACCCTTTCACCCCTCACATGCTCATCAACAAGCTGACAAAGTACCTTTTGTGTCTGGTGCCAGTGCACTGGGCTGCTGCGTGGTTGAAGGGCTGAGCCCAGCGGCTTGTGATGAGTAGCACAAAGTCCATTTGAGGGCAAGTCTCAAGTAGTGTAGCTCAGGAGTTGTATGTGGGGCCAGCCTTGTTCCACATCCTTAAGGACCGGGCCAATGTGATGGAGTGACCCCACAGCAAGTGGTCAATTCATAGTCCTCATTTTGAAAAATCTAGAAAGAAGAGCCGGGCTAACTACAGGCTGGTCAGCGTCATCTCTGTGCCAGAAGAGAGCATGGAGCAGATTCTCCTGGTAACTATGCCAAAACACTTGAAAAAGGGAGAGGTCATCACTGACAGCCAGAAGGGCTTCACAGTGGGTGAATCCTTC